ATATTTCTGATTTTTTCTTTGCTCCAGTTTTGGTCGCAGTGATCAACAGGAAGAGTGTGTATAAAAAATGTTTTGGTTTTGCTGCAAAACAATTTAAGGGATATATTTATTTATTATTTATTAATATCTAAATAAAATATAAATTTATAAATAATAGAATTACTTATTTAATATAAAAAAAGATAAAAAAACTTAAAATAAAGTTAGTAGTATAGTATCTAGTAAATAATAAATGAAAAATTTAAAAATTTCAAAGTAATTTAATAAAAACTAAAAATATAAAACTAATTCATAGCTAAATAGATTTTATATAATTATATTTAATGAAAAAATATGATTTAATTTAAGGGTAGGATCTTCAACTATATGTAGATCATTAAAAAACATGTTTCTAACTAGTTTTGAATTAGTACAAAAAACGTGACAATGACAAAAAAAAAAAGATCAAATAAATATTGGTTAAAATTTTTTATATACTTTCAAAGAAATACGTAATATATTTTTACATTTATTTTTTACATACGTAGTTAATTAATAAAGAGTTTTGTAAGCGGTAAGTTTAGCTAAAAAAAATGCACATTACCTTTTCAAAGTGCACATTATCTCTTGTAGCACTATCAGTTTAAGTTACTATTTCGTTATATTTAATAATTAACTAGTCTGATCATTTTTTTAAAAGTTTATATAGAACACAAGATAATGGTAAAACTAAGCTTTTAAAAGTTTCATTAGATACAATATTTTAACTTTACGATAAGTGAATTTTTCTTATGTTCTATTTTTAGATCACTAATATTAAAATTTATAATTTCATAGAATCGTGATTTATGGGCTAAACGTCTTTTAGAAACAGATCATCAGCGTTGCAAATATTCAAGAACTGGGCGTTCTATTTTTATACGAGAAAGATCAAGTTTTTTACAAATTTTACCACAACATTCAATACTTTCAAGTGAAATAGATAAAAATAATGTTTACTTATTACTTAAAATACCGGAACTAAGTACTAGTAATAAAGTTTTTGTTCCTTTAATTCCAGGATATTGCGTATTTACTAAATTAGGAGAGATGTATTTTAAATTAGCTTTAGAATGGTTAGATAACCAAATTATGTATAGGTGGACTGAATATGCAAATGATTTAACTTTTACGAATGCTCAATATTCATTTATATCTCATGATGGTTTGACTAGTTTACGATCATATATTAGTAATAGTTCTCGAATTAAATACTCTGGAACATTTTCAGCACCATTTTTATTTGGATTAACATGTGCAGAAAATGTTAAGTGGCTTCGAGGATTTATTTCTCAACGTATTCCTACTTTATTTCAAGCAGAAAGTGATTTTTTTCATGCTCAACTTCAACGTGATAAAATACTTCAGCAAGCAAAACGAAAAGCCAATAAACTAGAAGAAGATTTATATTTTAATGATCCTTATGATAATGGAATTATCAAAAATGAATTACCTATTATAAAAAGTGGATGGTCCGGATCAAATAAAATAACACAAGCACTTGGTGTTAAATTGAAAGAATTACAAGATGATAATCGTGAAACAAAACACCAATTAAAAAATATGAAGAAACGGTTACGTCGATCGTTAGATACTATTTGTCGATTAAAAACTAGATTGAAAACAGAGTCAGATTTATCAAGGCATGATTTATTATTATTATTATTATTTATTTTTATTATTATTTACTATTATTATTATTATTTTAAAAAAAACTTACATTTTATCTAATACTTTTTTTAGCAATGAAGAAAGTAATGAAAGTGAACTAAGTAATAATGAATATTCGAATTCTGAAAATCAAACTATTAAAAAGCTAACTCTAAAAGGACGATTAGGATCTACAGTTTTTGTTAGTACAGACGTCTTTTTGGACTTAGTTTTGAATCAACCATGTCTTTCATGTTCGGATATAGACCCTAAAAATCAAAAAGCTCAAATCAAAGTCGATGGATTACAGATTCATATTATGCTTACTTGTTCTTTATGTTCAAGTGAAACGGAATATTGTAATGAAAGAGAAGGTGATAATTTTTCAAAAAGTATAGCTGGTGCTGGCTTACTTGGTGGAGTAAATAGAGAAGAAGTACGATCAATATTAGCTTTGTTAGGAGTTACAAAACAAAGTGGACATCAACAATACTTTAATAAGCAAGCCGAATTTTTTCAAAGTTTATATCAAATTGCAGATAAAAGTGCTGAAAACTTATTAATATTAGTATGTGAACAACTTCGAAATAATAATCAAGATATATTAGAGGTATCATTTGATTGTGCTTGGAGTCATGTACGTGAGGCTCTGCAAGCCAGTGGAGAGTTTATTTTTAATGGAGAATTAGAAGGTAATTATAAAAATTAAAGACAATAAAAAAAATTAATATTAAAAAAATTTTTTTAAGTAGGTTACGAACATCGACCAATCCTTGCATATCATGTGGTAGAAAAAAAACGAGAATATCGTAATAAAAATGGAAAAACTGTTACAATTCAAGAAGGCAATTATGATAGTAGTTCACGTCAAATGGAACATGCTATTCTAATTGCTATTGTTGAAAAAATTACGCCAGTATTAGAACGATATAATATTAAATTAAATGTTGGGGTTGATGGAGATCTTTCAACCAATAAAACTTTAACTTCATTGAATATCGTTAATCAAATATTTATGGATTTAAAACACAAGGCTAAAACTATACGGTCAAAAATAGGTATTTTAATGATTAAAATTTTAAATAACAAAAAAAAAATCAATAAGAATATAAAAAATAACAAATTTTATATTTAGAATCAGATCGGAATTGGAAAATTTTTGAACAACCAATAATGAGCTTTTATACAAAATGCATTTATGCAGCATCTAGTAGAGCTAACAATCCTGAAGTTTCAACCCCAACCGATGAAGAATTAGCATGGATGTATACTGAAGGCTTAATTTATCATTTGCAAGGAAATCATGATAAGTGCTGGCCCAAAGTTTGTTGGATTGTTGAAAATCCGGATTTAAGCTTACCATCTCCAAATTTAATCGGTACTGATGAAAATCAATGCAAACGGCTTTTAGAATTTCTAAAAAAGATTACAAAGCTTAAAGAAAATCAAAGCTTAATAACAACAATACGTACTAGCTATAATAAAGCATTTAATCGTTTGAAGTTAAATTATGTAGAAAAAAAAACAGATTATCCAAAGTCATTTCGAGCTCGGCATGCACTTTCAATAATTCATAATAATGAAGGTTCTGTAAAACTTCAACATGAAATTCGTGTAGCAGGAAATTTAATTAGTTTTTCAAATCAAGATGAAAAAAATTTATTAAATATCTGGAAGTATAAGAATCGGAAAAGAGAAAATAATATTGCAACAATCCAAACACGTAATAAGAAAAGGGCTGAAAAAATAATCAATCAAAAATGTCAATTAGAAAGTTTTAATTTTTCACAGGTAAATTCTATAGCATGCATTAGTAAGCAAATTCGATTGATTAATTTTATTTTAATTTAATTTATAAAGGATTTAATTCCATATGGTTTACGGGTCCAAGAAGAACTTACCAATAGTAAATTTGAACCATCATTCGCCTCACTAGTATCTATATTCAAATCATCATCTCTCAAATGCGTGGCTTGTCAGTCTTTTCAAAAAAAATTTGTAAATGGACTATGCACATTATGTGGTTTTTTATTGAAACACGATTTATCTGATCGTATACCTAATATACAATATCAGCAACCAACCTCCACACCAAGTTTGGAACCTAATATAGTTGACAGCATTATTATAGAATTTTTCGAGTTTGAAGAATATTATGAAAAACAACGAGAAAGTATTTTATCTTTTTTATCGGGTCATGATACATTAACTATACTAAAAACGGGTGGTGGTAAAAGTTTAATATATGCAGTTGCAAGTGTACTGTATCGAGGATTGACTGTAGTATTTACTCCACAAAAGGCACTAATGGATGATCAGGTGGTAAGTTACAGATATTTTTTTAAATAAATAAAAAATAATTGTTACTAATTATTTAATTTACAAAGCGAGAAATGGTAGGAATGGGAATACCTGCAGCAATGCTATATGCTTCCTCAGAGCAACCACCCTTCGTACAAGAAAAGATTTTTGCAGAGATTGCAAGCGGATTAATTCGTGTGTTGTTTGTTACGCCAGAAAAGTATACAGAAAACTCAAAATTTCGTATTATGTTACAAAATGTTTACAATACTCGAGGTCTGCAATTTGTTATAGACGAAGCACATTGTATAGTTTTGTATAAGGGATTCCGGTAAGTTACATATAATTAAAAACCAAATTTATACTTGTAATTTTAAATATTTAAAACAAAAAAAAAGGAATGCATGGAGAAATTTGGGTACCTTAAAGCACGACTTTCCTGCAGTTCCTGTACTTGCCTTGACGGCCACATGCTCATTTACCGATGCAAAAATTATTCAATCGGTTTTAGAAAGATCAAATATGGAAATAATTAGAACTTCAACTATTCAACGCCCTGAAATTATATTAGAGGTTAGACCCAAACCAGCCGCTAAAGATAAACTTTATCAGACTATATTTAGTCTACTAGATAATCTTGAGGAACGTGCTATCATTTATGGGGCCACAGTTAAAGAATGTGATGATATGACGAAGGCTCTTTGTAAAAATTTTGATCCTACAATTGTTGGAATGTATCACGGAAAACGAGCAAGTGCTGAACAAACTGCCGTATCTGCAGGATGGAAAAATAAAACTATTAAAATTATGTCTGCAACTACTGCGTTTGGTATGGGTATCAATGTTGATGATGTTACCTTAGTCATCCATACAACCTTACCCATGTCGCATGAACAATATATTCAGGAGATTGGTCGAGCAGGTCGTATTGGTCAAGAATCTAGAGCAATATTATTTTATTCACGAAGTGATATCCGTACACTATTGTCAATCTTGAATGGAGGACAAGAAAGGTAAAAATTTAGATATGAAATTTTGGTTTTTTTTTTTTTTTTTTTCTTAGAATTAAAAAATATATTTTAGGACGTTTAATGTATTTAATATCGACTTCAAATTTTTAATATTATCTGTGATTATATACCGTTTTTATTAGTCTGCCCACTAGCTCTATTGAATTACAAGACCAGTTTACAACTATTAACACAATGGAAGAAAAAAAGACAAAAATAATGGCTATGATGTTATATGCAGATGCAATCTATGAATGTCGTCAACAACTCGCATATTCTCCTTTTTTATGGCCAAATGATACTCAAATTCCCGCATGTCATATTTGTGACAATTGCAAAGAACGTGAAAAAGATGCACCTGATATATGTGATGTTATAGTGGAGGCACTTCGGCTTGTTAAAATCGTAAAAGAATTGCTGCAGCATGCAATTATTCGAAGCAACAATATGCACTATGTTACTCGTGAAGATGTGGTGGATGTGTTTTATAGAAGCAAGAATAATAATGTAACCAAAAAGAATCTCATGCACATTTCAGAATATTCCGGATATGTTCGAACAAGATTGCATCCAAAAAAAATGTGTTTTTACTTGCTGGATTCTTTAATTCAAAAAAAAGTTATAACTCAAGTTATTGATCTTCAAAGAATCCGTCCCAAATCATCAATCTTAACTTGCACCTATAAAATCATAGGAGTTTGTGAAAATGCAGAAAGCATTGTTTCGTCAGAAGTTTGGCAGCTCTATTTGAAATGAAGCAAATAAAAAAAAAAAAGCATCTACCCATTCAAATTAATAAGAAGTTTACCACTTGATATATAGCTCGCGCATAATTATGCTTTTTAGACGACATGTCTATTAATGTATGCGATTGTTTTATCGAAAGGTGGGTAAGATCCTTAGTATTATCAATTTATTTTTTATTTTATAGCTAATCTCTAAAATTCGATTTCACCAAATAGCAAAATTTTTTTGGTTAGTAATGTTAGAAGAATCTAATTGGTAATGTTGCCGAATGGTTGGCACTTTAATCCGGACATAGTGAAATGGACAATTATAAAGAATCTTGAAGAATATGGTGCGAATTTACATCAACTGTAATAGTCTTTATTATATACGTTAGAAATAATACGCTTTACATATTGTCAAGTTTATGTAAATCTTGACTTATAAACATGATTATAAGGAGATCGTGTGAGAAATAAGGTAAAAATACGTTTTGTAGATCATAATATTTTACCGTCTCCTTTGCCTTTCATATTTTTTTACATTATTGAATCACGTGACTAATGAGCAAGAAACTACAGCTAAAAATGAATCGGTCTGTTTTTTTCTTTGGGTTCTAAAAAATTGATCTTATGATTTTTTAAGAATTTTTACACTATATGGCATTCGCAGGTAAATTTTTCCGGGTAGATATCGATAATTATTGTATTCTTATCAAAAAATTATAATCAAATGAGTCGCTAATAGCTAAATCCTACGATCATCAAAAAAAAATGTCGCGAATTCTAGAAAACCTCAAAAAGTAAATGAATATTTATAAGGATAAAAAACTATATACTATATGATATTTCAGAAAGCTTCGAATAACAGCTTGGTCTTTTTATATATTATGGTTTACTCGAAATCTGCCGCATATGTTCACGAAGTTTGAGGCAAATTTGCCTGAAAACGGTATAGGAATAATCCGGAATAAAACTGTTATCATAAATCAAGAACCCTCTTTTAATTTGTTAATTGAAAATAAAAGCTCTAAAAATTATTTAGTTCTCGATTTGTAACTATATTACAAATAAAGTATAGCATTAACGCTTGCTTACTAGTTATTGTAAATTACATAATATTGGATATTACATTGAAAAGATATTATTTTATTACAGTAGTCTAGTAATTCTAATATATGATATAAAACTTTCATTAATATAAAAATTAGACTGTTTGCTAGAGTCTAATGAGAAAAGTAACGATATAGTCTTACCTTGTTATAAAAATTATTGTTCTAGAGAGTTTCTTCGTTATTACAAGGTATTTGGATCCATATCCGCCGATTTGATTTTTAGGGGTCTTTTTTCGATAAACGATTACACGGACTTTTGCCATTAAATGACATGAAGAATAACAAACGAAACATTCAATAAAAAAAAGCTTTTTAGCCTTTATATGAGATAGACAAGCAATAAATACTAAAAAAAAACAACTACACTAAGCTATTTTCAGGTAGTGAACGATCGGTTTGTCATTTGAATGATGGTTGTATAATGGGTAAGGGCGAATCCGCCTTTTTAACCTACTTTTAGCTATAATAAAACATGTAGATATTGCAATATTCTACACTTAATTATGGCTTCAAAGTAAATTTAAAAGACCGTTTTTGTGAAAACTCACGTAATAAATTTTAACGACAAATAATTCATGATAAGGGTCAAACCAAATCGGCTGATATGCTATAATATGAAAGTCTAAATGCTAATTGGCTAAAAATGTCGTGTAACATGTTACAAAGTAATATACTGATATTTATTAGGTATGTATGTAGAGCTTACAAGATAACGAATAAAAGAATTTTTATTCATAAAATCCTTTTTTTAGTTTATTTATTTCTGTATATCGATATTA